GGTAGCTTTTATTTGCTATATATAAAAAAAAACCCCACCATGAGCCGGCCGGGGGGCCAGGGCCGCGACGCACTGGAGGTGAAGTTCGTGCCTGACGAGGAGGTCCTGAAGCACATTGCTGAGTACACAGGTACGGCCGGCCCGGGGCAGCGCCCGCTCCTGCGCCGGGGCGCTGGGAGAGGGGTCCGAGCAGCCGCGGCGGCCCCCGGGAAGGGAGCCCTTCTCCCACACCCGGGGCGGCTGAGCGCCTTGGCCAGGCTGCAGGCAGGACGAGGCCTTCAGCGTAGTTCCCTCCGACTGTCTCTTCCGTGGTTTATTTCAGTCACTACCTCTGCTGCAGGTGGTGTGGATGCTAGCTCTCCATCCTAGCTCCCCGAGCAGCAGCGTGTGGGTAACAACCTGGGAGGGGAGGCACAAATAGCTTGGCTAACTTCCCAACCCCTGACCTGTTGAAACGTCTACAGAATCAAATTGGAAAGAGTTTCGAGGTGGTTGCTACAGGAGTCGTCTTCTGCAGTTTTGACTGCTTTTAAGGTTTGGAACCTCTGTGGAGATGCTTAAAACTTGCCTGTACAGGACACAGAGCGCCCTGATCAGACTTTGCTGTCGGTCCTGCTTTGCGCAGAAGGTCAGACAGATGGTCTCCAGAGGTCTCTCAGCCTAAATTCTCCGATGAGTGCACTGATGGCCTATAGGCCAGGTCTTTTCCACTTGCTCCCCTTTCCTAAAGGTAGATAGGGGATGCCAAACACCATCCCTTTGCATGCAGTTTGATGCTTTTCTATGCGAGTCACTGCTATTCCTCCCAAACTGTGGAAGCTGGCGTGTGCTGAAATTAGGATCTTTTCCTCATGGACTCCAGGGGCCGGCTTTTGTGGTAAAGGACAAACTAACGGCTGTAAGGTCAGCTGGCTGCCAGGGCACAGACCAGCTTTTTTAGTGGGGCATGTTTTCGGTGTTGTATTTGTTTAGTAGTTTGCACAACACGAGCTTGGTCTCTGAATGGGGTAGCTGCATACTACTGCAATAGAAATAATGAAATAGCAGGACATTAAAGCTTTTATTACGATCCTAGGTATGAAAGTACAGAAGAACAAGACTCAGTTGGTGGGCAGTGTGAAGAGATTTGTGAAGAAGCTTGAGAATATTTCAGATGACGAAGCTCAGGAGATCCTGGAAGAGAAAAACTATGTTGCTGCTCTTGGACTATGTACCCAAGGTATTCGCAGGGGAAAACCTAACACAGCTGTGACTTCAGGAGATTCTTGCGATGTCAAGGTTGTACAATGTTCGTGAAATTGTGTTTGAGGGCTGACCAGCTCTGGCTGTGCTTGTGGTAACAGGTAGAGGAGAAGATAATGATTCTAGGATTTTATTATGATACTTATTTCATAACATGGAGTATAAAGAGTCCTTTGAGCCAAATAGTAAAATGTTGCATTCCATCTTCCCTGGGTTGGGAATATACCAGTGCTTTTTAAATAGCTATAAGTAACATTTCTTTTGACAGATCCAATGGGAAATGGCTCAAGTGTAAGTGGTGGTGAAGTTTACTCGTTCCAGACTCCCAAACGCTCCAGCAAAATGGCAGAGCTGGGTATGTTTTCCTCTTTCTTCTTTCATTCTTAGTCGGGCTATAGGTTTTTTTTGAGTACTCTGCTAACATAGTTTGTCACTTCTGTTTATTCAAAAGGTATGTTTGCAGTATTTCAGTAGCTTTTATCTGGCTCTGAATCAGTCTTCCTCAGAAACAAAAGAACAGGGCTAGGACAAAGCAAAGGCATGGTGGGGATAAAAAAACCCAGATATTAAACACGTAATAAAATCTAAAAGTCTCTTAATGCTGGGAGAACATGTGTGTATAAGTGCCAAAGGATGGCAGATGTTTTAATTGTGTAACTTAGAAGAATATGAGAATAACTTATTATGTAGCAAAGAGTCAAAGAAAGGTTTTCTGTGTCAGGGAATTTCTCCTACTCGGTGTCTGAGTGTGCTTACTAGGCTAACTGTGGACTTCGGAGAAGCAAGCAGAAAGTGGCAGTTCTGGAGAGCGTGGGCTGTTCTTGTTGAAATAAGGTGCTTGAGCACTGCTGCCACTGCGTTTCTTCTTACTTGAAGGGTCTTTGTGTACCCAGCACCACTTGAACTTCATTAGGGTTTGTTGTCACAGCTACTGACATATCCTACAAAGGATGATCCAAGAGAGAGGGGGTCATCCTTCTGTATCACTATACAGAAACTGATTTCCATGCCTATTTACTTATCCTCTGGGCTTCTCCTGTGTCTTGGGAAGTTGTGTGTTTCTTAAACCTCCTGCAGCAGGGTAGGTTTCACTGGTGCTCCCTCCTGGATCCGTGACTCAGCTGGAAACTGAGGCAAGTCATACAATGGAAGGCTGGTTTTCTTGAGGGACTGTTAGCAGGATATGGGGGTCTTCCATATTCAGATCAGTGCTTCAACTTCAGCTTGTGCTGATAAGTAGTAGAAAGAGGTAAACAGAATACAAGAACCCACCTCGTGGGGAACTGATGTGTTTGCTATACCTGATGCTCTACGATGTCCAGTTGAGCAGTTTTAAAGGACTAAGTGAGCATGAGCAAACATTGCTCTGATTTGAAGACATGTGGTCTCCTAGGGAGTAAAATGTGCTTTGCCATTGCCTCAGCTATACTTGTGAAATGAATTAACTGAAGAGTTCAGACTTTGAAAAATCTTTCTTAGGGATTACATTCACCATTAGGGTTAGAAAAAAAAAAAAAAAAAGGAGGTATCTGGTGCACTTCCTGAAATAGCTAGGAAATGAATACTTAGTGTTTCTGGTGTATGGGTTCATGGCTGACTATCCAGAGGTAGGAGTTTTGTACCTGACACATGAAACTTCTCCCCTTCCCCCTGTTTCCTACAGCATCTGAATTAGCCCAGACACCAGGACAGAGTGTTGCACCTGATCACTCCAAGTGCCCAGACAAGACAGCCAAAGCCCCTCAAAACAACAGTAAGTCCTGTGATGCTATGGTGAACTGCAGCTGAGTTAATGAGGGTTATGTTTCTATTTGCATGGTGGAGTGGATGCTTGAGTGCCACTTCTGTCATGCTTGAGTATTCTAGTCAGCTTAATGTTGTAGATGAACTGCTTTGGTATGCGTGGCCTCTGGTTCACCTAGGTGTCACATCTTTATTCTGCCCTGCTGGTGTAGAGAAAACAGGAACTTCTCTCTCATCTGTTGCTGAGACTTAATGATTTCCTCTGTGTTCAACAGAAATGCTTGCATTTTGAGAGAGTTATGAGCTGGGCTGATGTGTTGAGCACCAAATGGGTTGGATTGTGTGGGTGTTCATTTGTAAATTCACACTATTATATAAATTCAAGCACCCAGTGCTGTAGGGAGAAATACAGGTGGGAGAAGTCACTGCAGTGTCAACGCTGGCAAGAGCATGTTACTTTGTGCTCAGAAATGGAGTCCGATGTGCTCAAGGAGAGAACATTAGCTCATTTTTCAGTCTCTTCCCTCTTGCTGATGGCCTCCCAAAGCTGTGACCACAATTCAAAGCTGTCTTCTGTGGTAATAGCATTGACTGTCTTTGTTCTCTCCTTGCCTACCTGTGAGGAACTAGAGGTTTCCCTCATAGAATTAACCACCTGGAGAGCTGATATTCCGGTGCAGTGCACCTTTGAATAGTGAATGCCTGTTTTTCTAATGGACCATCTTGTGCCACTGTTGAAAATGTGCAGTAGCTTGAACAATGATGTTTCTTGCTTTGCAGAACATACCAGTTCAGACAAAGTGCTGCAGAGGGTGAGTGATGACTCTACCTTGCTTGGGGTTTTTTGTGTGTGGTTTTTTTGTCCGTTTTTTTTCTTCACTTTTAAAGCTTGTACTGGCCAATTACTACAGTTCTGGAAAGGAGGGACCTTGAAAAGCCTCATCCACAGTATAGATGTCTCTCCTAATCCAACCGGACAGGAGTAACTCAAGTGAGAACCAGAGCTACCATTAATCAGGACTGTGAGATTTAGAGTCAGTGGGAAAATAGTGGGTTTGATAGCTTAATTAGCATGGGTGAACACTACTTCCTTCCATCACACAAATAAGCATGTTAGGCCCTTAATATGCAATAAAAATCATAGCTTTCCAGTTTCTCACCAAAGTAAGAAACAGCCTTAATTGTAAGGAGTGCTGTTAGAACAGGAATTGGAGATGAGGTGCTATTCCTTTTCTTACTTTAGCACTTGTTTATAAAAAATAAATTGCGATAATGGAGGGGATGTAAGTTGATTGTTATTTTTTGTGATGTTACGGAGAGTTACAGTCCAGAGCTGCCAGTTGTGATGGTTATAAAGAGAGTGCTATGAAACAGTTGGCTTTCTGAAATGGTGTAGCATCATACTAGAAACGTGTGCACAGCTTTTCCGGTATAAGGTTCCAGAATGGGATATGCTTGTTTTGGGATGCCATGTTCACTCCTTAGTGATTTCACATCCACTTTGACAGGGTTAACAAAAGTGTTTCCTAAGTATTGCAGACTTGATCTGGTGTCCAAGACCGTGTGCTCTACACATATGTAAGGAAGATATGCCACTGCAACTTGATGAGCCCAGGCAGCTTGGGTTCCCTTTGCTGTACTTCTTCTGGGCTTAGTATTCTGGGTGGTCTTCTGTCATTCTGGTAGTTGTTTTCATAGTGAACTTCCAAATGACTGAGTAGAGTGTGATGTGGAAGATGACTGCTCTAGGGAGCTGAAACTTTTCCAATTTGTCACTGCTTCGGTTTGACTCTTCCTGAGGGCCCAAGATTGGCATCTTGGTTGGAGATTTCATGGTCTTCTACCCTCCATTTTGGGACATGAGTTGAAAGAATTAAGACCCTTTTTGGAACCTGATCCTGTCCCCTTCTAGCTCTGAATAGCTCTCCATACTTACTGCCTCTGCTTTGCCAG